ACAGTCTTATTTTGTCACCCTCGGTAGAGTGCGGTGGCATCATAGCTCACAGCAACCTCAAACTCTTGGGCTTAAGTGATTCTCTTGCCCCAGGCCTCCCAAGTAGCTGGGACTACAGCCACCTGCCACAACGCCTGGCTATTTTCTGTTGCAGTTGTCGTTGTTTAGCAGGCCCAGACCAGGCTTGAACCTACCACCTTCAGTGTATGTGCCTGCTGCTATAACAACTGTGCTATAGGCACCAAGCCCTCTTCTTTGTATTCCTAAGGACTTCTCTGGTATTTCAGTAAATTTCTTGGTATTAGGCTGGGTGTGGTGGCTCACACCTATAATCCTAGTACTCTGGGAGGCTGAGGTAAGTGCATTGCCTGAGCTCATAGGTATGAGACCCTGTCTAAAAGATAGCCAGGCATTGTGGTAGGTGCCTGTAGTCCCAGCTACTTGGGAGGCTGAGACGAGAATTGCTTGAACCCAAGAGTTTGAGGTTGCTGTGAGCTATGATGTCACAGCACTCAACCCCAGGGCAACTGAGTGGGACTCTGTCTCAAAAAAAATACAATTTTTTGTTCTTGGTATTTGCTGGCATTTCTAATCAGAAATTTAGTATTTTTTATCCAGTTGGAAAATTCTCATTCATTTCTTTCTTTTTTTTTTTTTTTTTTTTTTGGTGCCTTTAACTCTTCATAGTCTCTGATTGAATTCCTCTTAGTGGTGTTAGACTTCAGCCGTATCTCTTAACTTAGATTTTCCAATTCTTTTTTTTCTTTTCTTTTTAAGACAGAGCCTCAAGCTGTCACCCTGGATAGAGTGCCATGGCATCACAGCTCATAGCAACCTCCAACTCCTGGGCTTAAGCGATTCTCCTGCCTCTGCCTCCCTACTAGCTGGGATTACAGGCGCCTGCCACAACACCCAGCTATTTTTTTGGTTGCAGCTGTCATTGTTGGGCGGGCCCAGGCTGGATTTGAACCTGCCAGCTCATGTGTATGTGGCTGGCACCTTAGCCGCTTGAGCCATAGGCGCCAAGCCCATTTTCCAATTCTTTTTTTTTTTTTTGAGACAGAGCCTCAAGCTGTCCCCCTGGGTAGAGTGCTGTGACATCACAGCTCACAGCAATCTCCAACTCCTGGGCTCAAGCGAGTCTCCTGCCTCAGCCTCCCAAGTAGCTGGGACCACAGGCGCCCGCCACAACACCTGGCTATTTTTTGGTTGCAGTGTCATTGTTGTTTGGTGGGCCGGGCTGGATTCGAACCTGCCACCTTAGGTGTATGTGGCTGGTGCCTTAGCCACTTCAGCCACAGGCGCTGAGTCTCATTTTCCAATTCTTTATCTTCTGTGCTGCATTCTAGATAATATATTTTCTAATTTTCTGATTTTTCTCTATATGTATGTTTTAAATTTCATAATATTAAGGATGTATAATGTTTTTGTTCCATGTTTTATAATACTTAAAGACTGTTAGTATGATTGTCATCCATATTTTGTTTTCTTTCTTTCTGTTCTTTTTTGGAGATAGAGTCTTGCTGTGTTGCCCCAGCTGGACAGCAGTGGTTTTGTCATAGCTCACTGCAACCTCAAATTCCTGAGCTCAAGTGATCCACTTACCTCAACCTCCTGAGTAGCTGGGACTTTGGGATCACACCACACTGCATGGCTAATTTTTTCTATTTTTAGTAGAGACAGAGTCTTATTCATGCTGATCTTGAACTCCTCAAGCTGGGCGTTGTGGCAGGTGCCTGTAGTCCCAGGTACTTGGGAGACTTGGGAGACTGAGGCAAGAGAATCGCTTAAGCCCAGGAGTTTGAGGTCTCAAGTGATATGCCAGCCTCAGCCTCCCAGAGTTAAGGATTACACATCTGAACCACATGCCTGGCCCACCCAAATTTTCTTTTTTCCTCATCTGTCGTTTAATCTGTCCATTGAGGTTTTCACACTAGTGAAAACTATTTTATTTGAGGGTTTTTTTTTTTTTTTGTGGACAGAGTTTTACTTTGTCTCCCTCAGTAGAGTGCTGTGGAGTCAGAACTCACAGCAACCTCAAACTCCTGGGCTCAAGCAGTCTTCTTGCCTCAGCCTCCCAAGTAGCTGGGAGTACAGACACCTGCCACAACCCCTGCCTATTTTTAGAGATGAGGTCTTGCTCTGCCTCACTCTGGCCTAGAACTCCTGAGTTCAGGCAATCTACCTGCCTCTACCTCCCAGAGTGCTAGGATTACAGGTGTGAGCCACTGCACCTGCCCTTTATTTGAGTTTTTAAAAATTCTTTTCCTCATAGGGCTCATAATTTTTTAAATAATCTTTTGTTTTTTAGTCATATTACAGTTTTCTTAACATGTTAATATCTGAAGTCCTTTTTTTGGTATGTTGTTTTTTGCTGACTCCTATTCCTGGAGGTTGGTTGCTGTGTGTGTGTGCGTGCGCGCGTGCGCGTATATTAACATTAAGTTTTCTGGTATGTTCTTCTGAGAGGATTTATATATACTTCTAATGGGCACCTACAGAGACTACCAATAGGGGTAACTTTAAATTTTTTACTTGGACTTCTAAAAACCATAAATGTGAATTACGTGAAAATATGAATGTAAAAATATAAACATGATTTCTTCCTTTAACCCATGTAATGGCCAAGCTCTATTGACTGTTGCTTAAGAGCTTTTCTCTCCCAGACAGAGGTAAAACCTAGACATATAAATTTCCCCACCCCTTCCCATTGTTCACTGTCCCGTTTGTTCAATAGTCTCAGGGTGTTTTTTTTTCGGTGGGGGGGATCTTGGGCTTAAAATTTATTCACTTAAGTTACTTTTCGTCAGCATTTTTTGGATATTTTGTATTGAGAGAAATATTCAAGATGTTGTTTGCCATTAACAGATGAGCCTTTATTTCTTCATCTGTAAAATGAGGATTATGTTGGATCTACTTCATGAGTTTTCTTGAGGAATGAAATAATGCTTGGAAAAACACTTAGCGCCTGGATTATTGCATATTTAAGTTTCTTCCTCAGAGTAGGGGTACATTGCTCCTTTACTCCTACTCGGGAAATTGGTATCAAGTAAATCTCTTGTTCCATAATGGAAGATTTACCTAGGGTTTGTCTCTTGGATGGTTTCCCTCTGGGAATTTGTAGTTCCACATATTGCTAGATCTAAAAAATGTCAAAGGAAGTCAAACTTTTATATAAAAACCTATGGGGGGATAAAAAGTTGAAATCAAGGCCAGGCATGGTGGCTCATGCCTGTAATCCTAGCACTCTTGGAGGCCAAGGCAGGAGGATTGCTTGAGCTCATGAGTTCAAGACTAGCCTGAGGGCTCGGCGCCTGTAGCTCAACCGGCTAAGGCGCCAGCCACGTACACCTAAGGTGGCGGGTTCGAATCCCCAGCCCGGACCCGCCAAACAACAATGACGGCTGCAACCAAAAAATGAAATGGCCGAGCGTTGTGGCGGGCGCCTGTGGTCCCAGCTACTTGGGAGGCGGAGGCAGGAGACTCGCTTGAGCCCAGGAGTTGGAGGTTGCTGTGAGCTGTAATGCCACGGCACTCTGCCCAGGGGGACAGCTTGAGGCTCTGTCTCAAAAAAAAAAAAAAAAAAAAAAGACTAGCCTGAGCAAAAGCAAGACCCTATCCCTACTAAAAATAGAAAAACTGAGGCAAGAGGATCGCTTGAGCCTGAGTTGGCGGTTGCTGTGAGCTATAACATTGGCACTCACCCAGGGCAACAGCTTGAGACTCTGTCTCAAAATAAAGTTGAAATCAAGTTTGATTTTTGTTAATTTGAGTCTGTGTGTGTGGCCTGATACCTAGGTGCAGCTGACGAGACCATGTTGCCGTGTGAATTTTGTGAGGAGCTCTATCCAGAGGAATTGCTGATTGACCATCAGGTGTGTTGTGAATTACTTAAATGTTTTAAGTAGGAACATGTGCAGGCACGTGAGGTCTTGAACAAACCATTTTAGTACAATGCTTATGGTAGTAGTGTTTTCACCGTGGTGTGACTGACACACAGGTATGAAATCTCAGCCTTCTACCATCTTAGAAAAAGTGATGCTCATTCCTGCGGACCTAATGCTGCCAGCAGACCATACAGTGATGGCCAGTGTATGTCTCTGCCAACTGTCTTATGATCTGGTCTCATCTCATGCCACATTTTGGTCACATTACTGGAACTGTGTTTATGTCCTTGCAGTTCCCTAGAAGGGTCAAAGGTCTTTTCTGCACATTACTTCCTCTCCCTAAAATGTACATGACCTTCTGCCCCTGCATCCTTAACACACCCAGGAACTTAGACTTCCTATTTGTAGACTTGGTTCAGATATGACTTTTTGGAAAGCATCCTGAGGGACACTCTGAAGACAAATTGAGGAGTCTCACCTGTGTGGTCTCCCCATGTTACCCTGTGATACAGTCTCCTGATTCTCTGTTAGTCTGTACCACTAAGCTAAGTTCCATGAGACTAGGTATTAGCTTTTTCTAGTTTCTAAATCTCTCAATACCTGGTTATGAAAAGTGTCAGGTATTTTTTGAATGATTTTTTATATTCTGTATGTATGTTGTATGATCAGCATCATCATAGCAACCTCAGACTCTTGGGCTCAAGTGATCTTCTTGTTCCAGCCTCCCAAGTACCTCAGACTACAGGCATGCACCACAGTGCCTGGCTAGTTTATTTCTATTTTTTAATAGAGACAGGCTCTTGCTCTTGCTCAAGGTGGCCTTGAACTCCTGAGTTCAAGCAGTCCACCCACTCCAGCCTCCCAGAGTGCTAGGATTACAGGCGTGAGCCATCAGGCCTGGCCTATTTTTTTGAGTGATTCAGAGTTCTTGAGGCATTTAGGAATGGTTAGAGACTAGCCTTATGTGTTTTAGGATTACCTGGTGAAGGGACCCACTTTTACTCTTAACACTGTCTGATTTGGTTTGGCATCATCTGGCATTATCCCAGCTACTAAGTAGACCTGTCCCTTAGGTGGTGGAACATACCTTCCCTCCATAAATGGATTAATACAGTATTTGCAGACATCAGTTTTTGGTTTGGGAGCACCATAATAAAATCTATTAATAAGAATAAGAAGGAATATTTGGGCCTCTTTTATTGTATGGCTGTGGGTATCTTTTATCTTTGCAAATTCATGTAAAGAATAATTATATGAACACAGTAAAAAATTAGCATAGAAGTATTTAAAAGTAAAGTGAGTGTTCTAAGCCCTTCTCCTCAAAATCAACCATTAAAATTTTGTGACTTTTAGAAAATGTTTTAGGATTAGGAGTATAGTTTTTCCTTAACCTCTGATTTTTTTTTTTAAAACCTATGTTTTTTTGAATGACAGACAAGCTGTAACCCTTCACGTGCCTTACCTTCACTCCATACTGGCAGCTCTTCACCCAGAAGGGTGGAGGAACCTGATGTCATCTTCCAGAACTTTCTGCAGCAGGCTGCAAGTAACCAATTAGCCTCTTTGATGGGCCTTAACAGTTCTTCCTCTGTGGAGGACACCATCATCATCCCATGTGAATTCTGTGGGGTACAACTTGAAGAGGAAGTTCTGTTTCATCATCAGGTAGGAATCCCTGGAGGACCTGTCCACCGTGCTGATTCTCTGAGTGAAGCTAAGGTTTCCAGAGACAAGACTACTTTTTTTTTTTTTTTTTTTTTAATTTTATGGCCAGGGCTGGGTTTGAACCCACCACCTCCGGCATGTGGGGTTGGCATCCTACTCCTTTGAGCCACCTGATAAGACTACTTCTTTAGCTAGACACTCTCTCAAAAAAAAAAAAAAAAAAGTTTCCCTCAGGCTGGGAATGGTGGCTCACTCTGTAAGGCTGAGATGGGTGCATCTCTTGAGCTTAGGAGTTCAAGATCAGTCTGAGCAAGAGCAAGACCCCCATCTCTAAAAATAGCAGGGGGGTTGTTGTGGGCACCTGTAGTCCTACTTTCTTGGGTGGCTGAGGCTAGAGAATCACTTGAACTCAAGAGTTTGAGGTTCCTGTCAACTATTTTGCCATGGCATTCTACAGAGGGTGACAAAGTGAAACTTTTTTTTTTTTTTGAGAGTTTGCCTCAGGTCACTGATGCATTCTTCTCTTCAAGTGGGTTCTTCCTGTTGTGGTGGCATTTGAGATTTGCATTCCTGGAGATCTAGGGGGCAGGGGGGAGTGTCTAGTTTTGGCTTTTGCTCTATGGTTGACCTTGGGTAGGTTCTATCGCCCTCACTAGGGACATCTGTAAATGAGTGAGTTGGACTAGACAATCTCAAATCCTATATTAGCTTTTGCAATATAGGATTTTAATCTGTTAGCAGAAAATACATTTTCTCCTCTTATTTGTTATGGGGATCATTTTTATAGTTCATGGCATACAGCAGTTGCAAAACATAATACATTTCATTTCTTGAATAGGACTTCCACTTTTGGAACAAATAGTAGATAAGTAACTGCTTGTTGTCTTGTAGGGGAGACTGAAGTAAGCAACCACACAAATACTCTAGTTGAAGTATAGAAATGCTTTCTTTTCTGGGCTGCCAAGACCAGCCCTTCTTTCATTCTTGCACCGATCAGAAAGTACTTCTGTCAGTGCCCCTGATGCCAGTGGACATGACTGCCATTCCACTGTGTGCTTCTTCTTAGTTCCCAGAACCTTCCTCTCAGTGTTGACAAAGTCCCCATCCTGGTGAGGCGTGCTCACCCACCCTGCTCTTCTTCCCTTTCCTCCCACAGCTCCCTGCTTCAGGAATGACTCAGTTCAGAGGTATTTACTCTGATTTTTCTTGTCTAGGACCAGTGTGACCAACGCCCAGCCACAGCAAACAACCACGTGACAGAGGGGATTCCTAGACAGGATTCTCAGCCTCAAGAGACTTCACCAGAGCTGCCCAGGAGGCGTGTCAGACACCAGGGTATTATTAGCCAGAGCTGAGCCAAGGCCACAGCTCCATTGCTGGCTTGAGCCGGCTTACCACTTCTCATCTGCTGCTCTAACATGGGAGTTCCCTGAATATTGAGTTACCAAGCACTCTAGGGTCTCATGGGGGACTCTTATAGCCAGCTGTGGTCTCTCATTAGACTGAGCTATCCTCAAGGATGGATTTTATCCCAGTGACTTTGTGGATATTCAGGAGACACTTAGCAATCATTGCTTACAGTAAGGTGTGGGTCTCCTTTCTGTGCACTTACTAGATTATTTATAGGTAATTTGCAGACCTCCTGTAGCTGCCCTACGACTCTACTTTTATTTGAAATATACTTAGGGTACTCAAACATTATTACTTAAGAGCCTCATGACTAGGCAAGGAAACTGTTTTCAAATCCTCTCCACTACAAAGCCAATTAGAAGTTATTTTTTAACCTGGGCACCCATAGCTCAATCGTTAGGGCACTGGCCATATGCTCCAGTGCTGGTGGGTTTGAACCTAGCCCAGGCCTGCTAAACAAAACAAAACACAACAAAAAAAATAGCTGGGCACCATTGAGCTAGCGGGTACCTGTAGTCCCAGCTACTTGGGAGGCTGAGGCAAGAGAATTGCTTGAGCCCAAGAGTTTGAGGTTGCTGTGATCTATAGTCCCAGCTGTCCCTATAGTCTCAGCTACTCAAGAGGCTGACGTGGGAGGATCCCTTCAGCCCAGAAGTTTGGGGCTAGCCTGGGCAACATGGAAGAAGAAAGAAAAAAACTCTTTTGTTGAACAGCTAGGAGGCTGTATTTTAGGACTCTGATAATAAGTATGGAGAGTAGACAAAAGTGTTCCTAACCCTGTCCTAGAGATGTTCCAGCAGTTAGGGGTGAGCAGGGGTGAGCAGTTGTATTCTTTCTAAAGCAGTGGTTCTCAACCTGTGGGTCACAACCCATAGGAACTGTATTAAAGGGTTGAGGCATTAGGAAGGTTGAGAACCACTGGTCTAGAGTTTTTTTGATCCTGCCCTAAATCCAGCATTATAGCAAAAGCAAGCTGTTAACTATCTTGTCTTCTCAGGAGACCTGTCTTCTGGTTACATGGATGATATCAAGCAGGAAACAGCTAATGGGCCCGCCTACCCTCTGCCCCCCAGCAGACCCATCAACAGTATGAAAGCTACCTATAACCGACTGTCAAAATCAACATCGGGCCCCAGACCTGGGTGCCAGCCCAGTCCTCCTCGTGTACTGAAGCTCAACAACCCAGACAGCCAGGACATCCAGGGGCAGAATCGAAACAGTCAGAATGGGGCCGCTGGGCATGTTCCAGTGATTCAATCAGTTCGAAATCTCTACCCAGAAAACTTTGTGCCCTCTTTCCCCCATGGGCCTGCAGGGAGATACGGAGCTAGGTAAGAATCAATAGCCTGGGAATGGAGCCAGAGAGAATGTGGGCAAAAGGTTTGGAGTAAGATTTAAGGCTCGGCGCCTGTGGCTCAAGCCGCTAAGGCGCCAGCCACATACACCTAAGGTGGCGGGTTCTAATCCCCAGCCCGGGCCCGCCAAACAACAATGATGGCTGCAACCAAAAAATGGCCAGGCGTTGTGGCGGGCGCCTGTGGTCCCAGCTACTTGGGAGGCTGAGGCAAGAGACTCGCTTGAGCCCAGGAGTTGGGGGTTGCTGTGAGCTGTGATGCCATGGCACTCTACCCAGGGGGATAGCTTGAGGCTCTGTCTCAAAAAAAAAAAAAAAAAAAAAAAAAAAAAAAAAAAGATTTAAGGTCCATGGGAAGGGGAAGAATGTGGCTTTTTCCTGTATTTTTACCAGAATTTCAAAATATCTTTGAGGTTTTTTTTTTTTTTTTCTTGAAACAGAGTCTCAAGCTGTTGCCCTGGGTAGAGTGCCCTGGCATCATATCTCATAGAAACCTCCAACCCAGGCTCAAGTGATCCTCTTGTGTCAGGTTTTCTTTCTTTTTTTTTGTTGCAGTTTGGCCGGGGCCAGGTTCTAACCCGCACATGGGGCCAGTGCCCTACCCACCGAGCAACAGGCACCACCCAGTTTTTCTATTTTTATTAGAGACAGGGTCTCACTTTTGCTCAGGTTGGTCTCTAACTTGTAAGCTTAAGCAGTCCACCTGCTTGGGTGGCCTCCCAGAGTGCTAGGATTACAGGTGTGAGCCACCTTGCCTGACCACCAAAATTCTTTGCTATGCAAGGGGTTTGTGTGCTAGCAGAGAGCTGCTTTTGCTGTGACACCAGTTATTTCTGTTCCCTCTGAGTTTCCTGACTTTTGTTCAGGGGCATATCAGGAGCTACTTTCTAATATTTTTCTTTCAGTGGTAGGAGTGAAAGTGGCAGGAACTCCCGAGTCACCCCCACAGCTGCCAGCTACCGCAGCAGAACTCCAAAGGTAACCAGGGATCCAGGGGAGTCTCAGGCATGGGTGGAGCAGATATAGCTCTTAAAGTCATAAGCTGCTGGGGCCAGGATGGTTGTGGCTGAAGGACTGTTCTTTTGGCTTTTGATGTGGAAGTTGGACATTTTCAGGGCTCCAGGGGAATAGTATTGTGCTTTTACTTACCATTTTCTTGTTTGTGTTTTGTTCAATAGGCAAAGCCCCCCAAGCAGCAGGGAGCTGGGGATGCAGAAGAGGAAGAGGAGTGATGGTGTCTACAGAGACCCTTCACATGTTTCTACCTTTTATGCACAGCTATAGTGCAGGCCCTGCCTCTGTAGCTCTTTGGGCAGGGGAGATTTTCTGGATTTTAACTTTTTTTCTAAGTTATGGCCATTTTGTGTCTTTTGAGATTGTGCTGTGGGAGTTTGAGGGTTTGAGGGAGGGTTAGCAGGGAGGCTGTTGAGAAACGTTTCACCCTTAGCAACTACCTTTGAACAGCAGTGAAATATAAGTTACTGCCTAATGGCCACCAGGGCTCCATCTTTTGACATACTGTCACCACTGCTTCTTGGTGCTATGTGGTCCTGGTGGAGGGGGGAGGGTTCTAGAAACCTGGTACCCCTAGTAAAGTGATTCTCTGCCCTGTGGGGCCTAAATTTGGGGGTTTGGAGTACCTTCTTCAGGGTACTGCCCCACTCACTCTAGGCTGGGCCTCAGTTGTGTGTGGAGGAGTTCTGGGAAAGTACTCAGGCCAACAGTATTAGGAATGAAGTTTTTGGAAATGTGTTGAGCTGGAGTGATTAGGGGCTGTTTTAACCTGCTTCCTCTGCATTTGGCATGACTGCCTTCTGTTCTTGGTGGGGAGCATGGGTCCTTTGTGCTTGCTGCCCTTTACTGGGTACTGAGGAAAGCTGAGGGCTCCCTGTCCAGGGCTGGGCTGGGCTGGGCTCTGCCCCAGTCCCATGCTTGCTCTGAAAACCAAATATCAGAGCCCCTTCCCCTTCTTTTTATTTTACTATTATAATAATTATTGTTAAACTTCCTTGTAATAGAAATAAAGTTTGTACTTGGAGTTTGGCTTAGTCTTTTGGATCCTTTTCCTGTATACTTTAGAGAAAGCAGGGAGATCAGAGAGGTTGGCCCTGGGGTGTGGGTGTGACAGGGCTTCTCTGAGATTTAGGTAGCCCTAGCAGCTCCAGCATGAGTTTAGAATGTGCCAGACATTCAAGATGTAGTGTCTTCTCTTAAATTGGATTCTTTTTTTTTTTCCCTTTTTGAGACAGTCTTACATAGTGGGTAGAGTGCCGTGTTGTCATAACTCACGGCATCTTAAAACTCCTGAGCTCAAGAGATCTCTTGCTCAGCCTCCCAAGTAGGTGGGACCATAGGTACCTGCCATAATGCCCGGCTGATTTCTTTGTTCAGGCTAATCTCCAACTCCTGAGTTCAAGTAATCCACCCATCTTGGCTTCCTAGAATGCTAGCATTGCAGGTGTGAGTCACCGCACCTGGCCTTAAGTTGGACTCTTGAGGAAACTCATAGGCTTGCTGCAGCCCTAGAGATGATTGAGATGTGGGGTTACCTCTGATTCAATAGAGAAAAGCAGATTTTTCTTTTTCTTTTTTTTTAGTGATAGTCTCATTTTGTTGCCCTCAGTAGAGTGTTGTGGCGTTATAGCTCACAGCAACCTCCAGCTCTTGGGCTTTGGCAATTCTTTTTTTTTTTTTTTTTTTT